CTTGCTCAGGCTGGTCTCGAACTCCTGAGCTCAAACAATCCACCCGCCTCGGCCTCCCAGAGAGCTAGGATTACAGGCGTGAGCCACCACGCCCGGCCAACAAATAAGTTTTAAGAATGCCTCATGCAATATTGGGGACATACTTATACTAAAAACCAATTCATCGTAACTCTGAAATTCACATCTGCTCAGGTACTTTGTGTTTTTGTTGGCTGGATCTGGCGACCCTGCATGCAGATGACGCGTGCGGCTGGGGGCTCTGAGGAAATCGTCTTCTCACCAGCTCTCCCCTGGAGGAGGGTCGGGCTTGGTCGCCCCTGCAGGCACCACGGGCTCCTGCTGACAGGCTCACCTGGCTGTCCTGGGAGTCAGGATCCCCAGGTGTGCAGAAAACCACAGAACTAACCCTTCAGTTGGATTTTGCACGTGGCTTGAGTGACAATAGTGAGAGAATACAATTCAGTGCCTACCACCTGCCGGGCTCCGTTCTAAGTGCTTTACGTATATTAGCTCACAACCATCCAAGAGGTAGAATTAATATAGTCTCTGTTTTACAGACGAAGTAACTGGGGCTCAGAGATGCAAGCACGACAGTTTCTGCCTTGATTGTTCCCCACTCACCAGCAACTACAGGAACAGGTTAGCCTCACCCAGGGTGCCAGTGGGTCCATGTGGGTTACCTCCTATCTGCGAGGAATTTTTAGTGTACAAAGGGCTTTTGCACCATCATCCAACTTAAGGTTCCCAACAACCCTGTGAGTGGGGACCTTTCTTTCTCCTCTTTTGAGAAGAGCTTATTGAGATTCAAGAAGTAGGTAAAATACAGGAGGTCCAGTTGAATTTCAATTTCAGGTAGGACAACTCCTTTTAGCGCAAGTATATGCCATACAGTATTTGTGATATACTCATATGAAAAATTGCTGTTCATCTGAAATTCAAATTTAACTAGGCACCGCGTATTTGCTGAATAGAGCGATGCCACACGAACGTGACTCATCTGAGCTCAGACAGCTAGGGTGGACTTAGGACTCTTCATCCAGTGCTCCCGCTGCGGGGCTCAGGGCTGTGAGCATAAGGCCTCTTCCCTGAGGAGCGCTGTCTCTGTTCTACCTCCACAGCTCGGCCGAGTCAGTGCCTGGCTCTCTGACCCTCCCCGAACGGTCCACTCCACACGTTTCTCTCTCACCTGCCAGGGCTGGAAGTGCCGAGGGTCCGCACACGCCTCATCCTCGCTTTCGCAGGCCGCCAGATCGTGCAGGGCGCGGGCGATGCTGTGAACGGCAGAGTACGCCACGTCTAATTTAATCATTTCCTGGAAAGGCTGCCCCCGGCCTGGCAGACTCTCGTTCCCAGAGCAGAATCGGACTCCCCCCGGCACCGTGGTGTTTCCCGCTGGCCCCTGGCTCCCTCGGGGCCACGTGCATCTGAAGGTGACCTCCCAGAACCGCTTCATGAACATGTCTTCTGGGGTCCTGGTGGGGTGCAGGCGGGAGAGGAACTCCGGGAGCCCAGGGGCCAGGCTGGTGTGCTGCAGAAGGCTGAAGGAGCCCCGCAGGACCTGGGAGGCGCCCGGCGTGGCCAGGGCAAACGCTATGAACAGGGACTCTCGGCTGACCCAGACCTGGCCCACGGTGCCGCGGCCCAGCAGGCGCTGCAAGATGAGCTGGAAATTCGAGTTGCTCAGGAAGACCAGAATGACGGTGGCGGTGCCCTTCTCCATCTTGTGGACGATGGTGCTGATCTTCTCCAGGGTCTGTAGGGAGGGGACGTGGAGGTGGAACTCGATGCAGACTCCGGCCTGGCCCAGCTCCCGGGTCACCAGAGAGCTGCTCTGCTGCCCGAAGTCATCGTCCTGTGCCAGAACGCCCACCCAGGACCATTGGAAGTGGAGCACGAGCTGGGCCAGTGCGTGAGAGGACACGAGGTTGCTGGCCAGGGTCCGAAGGAAGGACGGGAACTGGGTCTTGTCGCTGAGGCTGGTCAGGGTGGATGAGTGGCTGACCTGCGACAGAAGGGGCCAGGGCAGTAGGACAGGGTGAGAACCAGAGACTCGGGCACGGGTGAGGGTCAGGGTGGGATGGGGGAACGCGGGCAGAGCGAGAACACAGCGAGGGTGACCCCTCGTCCCAGGTGGCCCTGGACGGGTTTCCCAGATTTGCCACCGAAAGCCCCACATCCCATGAACACCCCCAGCGAGCAAGGGGGGTCAGAGCGCGGGGTGCGATCGTCTCTGGGAAGCGAGCAGCTGTTGCACGGCCCAGCCCGGTGCGTCTCCAGCGCCAGTGTGGGGCCTGCTTGAGGCTCTGCTCGGGAGGCCGGGAGCGACCCCAGGGTTTGTGTCCCTGACAATCTTCCAGCTGATGACGATTCCCGGTCGACACTCGTGAGTAGCAAGGTCCTAGTGCGCCATAGAACCATCTAGATACATTTTTGAAAATTTAGACGCTTGGGCCAGCTCCCCCCTCCCCATTCCCCCATTTACTAGTTGGATAAACTGTGTCACTGAGGGTCCATCCCTCGCTGTAGGAGAGTTTGCATGAGACTGTCTGGAATCCATGCTCCTGTGTCCCTCACCGCTGGATAAGCCCAGACACACCCCTTTGTGGCTCCTTCGGTGCAGCCCAGGGGCAGTTGAACTTGACCTTCATTCCTCTCAGTGTCCCTCCTCTTTGCCCACCTCACGCCGAGCTCCCCGTCTCCGCTTCCCGCCAGGCGGCGTTCTGAGTCTAGCTCTGCCTTGCACGCAGCCCAGAGGCTGTCCTCCACTGGTGCTGGCAATGATCTGGAACCTGCTCACGTGGTCTGGCCGTTTAGTGACCTTTGTGGCCTGAGAGATGACAGGTTATCTGGCCGGTCAGTGTTGGCTTGTTTGTCGGTGAAGAGACCACTCCACGTGCCCCAGAAGAGAGAAGAGCTCTGTGACACTAGGGCCAGCGGAGTTTTGTGTCTGGCGGATAAAGGTGTGTGCGTGCAAGACACGCTCCGCCCACCAGAGGGCAGCGAAGACCCGGGTTACCCGGAATCGCACGGTCTCGGCCGCGTCCTCCCGCCTGACTGGCTCCTGCAGACGGACCAGGCTGACTCAATCTCATCAGGCCGCCAGATTTTGGAAATAAAAATACAGGATCCTCGGTTAAATTTGAATTTAGGATAAACAACAATAATACTTTAGTATAAGTATGTCCCATGCAATATTTGGGACAAAATTATTCGTTGTTTATCTGAAATCCAAATTTAACTGGGGGTCCTGTATTTTACCTGGCAACCCTCCATATATAGGAAAACAAGAGTTTGAGTGACGGTCAAGAAGTAGACTTTCTAATCCTTTAAACGTGCTTGAATTTAAAAGGAAAAGAAGAAAAAGAAAAAAAAACAACCTCCTCACACAAACCTCCAGCTCAGAAGCATTTTACACAAGAATCCAAGTGGGAGGCCGGGCGCGGTGGCTCACCCCTGTAATCCTAGCTCTCTGGGAGGCCGAGGCGGGCAGATTGTTTGAGCTCAGGAGTTCGAGACCAGCCTGAGCAAGAGCGAGACCCCGTCTCTACTAAAAATAGAAAGAAATTAATCG